GGTATTAGGCGCAAAAATAATTAGCCATAATATCATTTAGATATAGATCTTTATGGATCAGCAAAATTATTATTAATAAAAAAAAAAATAATAAAAATTTCATCCGGATTCCGGGTCAAACCGGATATTTTTCATCCGGTTTATAATCCGGATGAAAACCGTGAAAATCCGGATATCCGAAAAAAAAAAAAATCCGGATCAATCCGGATTGATCCGGATACGGGTCGAGGCACTAATTGCACGCACTACGAACACTGGAATCCGCAGCCTGATTTAACCCAATAAAGCTAGGAAACAAATCTAAGGAAAAAAAATAGAAAAAAAAAGGAAAAGAAAGAATAAAAAAAATAGATGATATTAATAATAAGATAAAAAATCGGTAAAGTATTATTCTACAAAAATAATAAGATCAGTGTTAATTTGTAAAGTTTTTTTTTCCTATCACACATTGTTCAGCAAAAAGAAAATATCATATAAATATTGCGGTTTGATCTGGTAGCTGGTGGCTGGTGGCTAGGTATGTGTTATGTTAGGTTCATTTCATTTTTTTTTTCGGTACGAAATGCCAATGTTAATGTTTTCTTTTTAATGCTATAAGTTTTTTATACTGAAAGATACGTTTTGTATACGTCTAGATACGTCTAGATACGCCTAGATACGTTTAGAGATACGCACAATTCCGTATCTCAAATGATACATTTTTTCAGCATCTCTGTATACAAAACGTATTTTGCAAGACATGAAATTGTGCACTTTCCCTTATCTCTAAATGCATATATATAGACGTATCTAAACGTATCTCTCAGTATATAAAATGTATCTTTCGGTATAAAAAACGTATCTACTTTTTTATAGGGCTAACATTAACTTTAACATTAACATAAGATTAGTTTTCAAATATTTTCTTTCTTTGACGTACTCCTAACCCAATCTAGTATTGATTTACTAGTTTAAATTTCATCTTTTCCCTTTTAAATCTTTTAAATCCAAAATTTCCCATTTTTAAACAACAATCAATCAAGCAATCTTTTATTGTCATAACTATTATCAAGAAAACACCATATAATGGCGGTTTCTTCTTGCTACTCTCCACTATTATATAAGCTAATATTTAATTTACTACTAGCATCTGTCCATAAACCAATCTTATCTAATGTAGTAATTTAACCATCTTTCTTAATATTCCTTTTATAAAAGCCTTGAAGAGTAACTTTCTTAATATTCCCAGTTAGGCTTTGCAAATTCCCTCCCTTGAGGCCTGCTTCTTTACCATTTTATTACTTTCATTTTTTATTTAGTTGGCAAGCCTTTTTTTAATGTATTTTTTTTACAAAAAGCCAATTGACTTCAATATATTAGCTAATGAAAAAATTAGTAAAATTGATTTTATTTTAAACACAAATGAATTGTGTTCTTATAATATGAACTCAGCCTAGTTTAATTTGATTTATAAAGTATTTTAGTTATCAATAAAAAAAATACAAATTTGCTTTTACTTGTAGCAGAATATTGTGTAAGGTTAGAAAGAATAGATAGACAAATAAACTAGCTAGATAATAATCTTATTATTCTATATATACACCTTAATTATTTTCTGATTTAAAGATATCAAGAGCTCTGAAATGTTTATTTAATGCATCCCGTGTTCTTAGGAAATGATGTATTTAGTTCTTTTGTACCTTTGAGTTTATCTATCACCATGGAATTCATTGTTACTTTTGTATTTCATCATCATCAAAAAGTTCATAAACCTCAAGCATTATAAAAACATCTTTTAGAGCAATTTCTAGTTCTGAAACATTAACTTTTTCTGATTTCGAATAATTGTCTTTTCAAATCCTACTTTATTATAAACATATTTTTGTGATTTCTTCCAAACATTTGCATCTATTTCAGCTTTTAAACATTCATTAAAATGAGATATTCAGTCTTTATATTTTGGAGATATAGAAGAGATATTTTTATTGTATTTTACTATTTTATATATTGTATTTATTATTTATTAGATATAATAGTAGTTTTAGTACTTATATTTGACTTATATTATATATCTTTATATGTAATTTATATAATAGTCAAATAATTAATACATGTTAATAAAGTTTCTGCATAAATTGATAAATGTTAAAGTATAAATCCTCGTATTTTCGAACTCTAATATTATATAACTTAAATTCCTTCACTTCATCACTAAAATCAAACAATTCTTTATTATGATTCCTAAAATTCAAATACCCGACTCTTTTCTCCTTCATTATATATTTTTTTATATAAGGTAAAATATTATCATAATTATTCTCATCTAAATTTTTAATTAACAATTTCTTAATAAAAATACCTTGGGAATTTTTTAGGAATACTTCAAAATCACTTACATCAATGCATAGAGTCAAATCTAAATATTCTAATCTAGAAGGAAGGATTTGTCCTAAATTTCGTAATATAATTGGACTACCTCTAAATCTAATTATTTCACTACTAATAAAAAGATAATTAAGATTTTGTTTTATATTTTCAATCAAATCGATTACTACTGGATAAATAATATCATCAATATCAAGATATTTGATATTTTTACAATAATTTATAACTGATCCAAACATTTGTCGTACACGATCGCTCTCGTCATACATTGTAGAGTACCTGAAATTCTTTAAATAACAACCAGATTTTTGTAATAATAATAATAATGATGATTCCTTAATTCCTGATCTTCCATTTAGGAATAAGGATCTTAATTTAAATGGTTTGGTTAAATTAAGAATTTGTTGAATAAAACTAGTATTTAAGGAATAACAAAAAATAATATGAACAGATTCTAAAACGTTTAATTGTTCAAACATTTTATTTAAATTGATCATATCTTTAAAATTAATTCGATATAATGTGATAGTATTTAAAGTATTTGAACAATTATAATCTTTTGATAATAATAATGATTGATAAAAAAGAAATTCCTTATCGTTATTATAAGTTAATATAATATTTTTAAGATTTTGATGTAAATTAATTACTTGTAATACACGATTGTTAATCAGTGTACTATTACTATTATTATTAAATAATTTAGATTTTAAAATAAAAAGTTTTAAATTTTTAGCATTGAGAATGAAATTTGGATTTTGTAAAATTAATTCAAGAATATCATCAAAATATTCGATATAAAGATTTATTTCAATTTCAAGGGTATGTAAATTTACTTCATTTTTAATAAATATTTTTAATAATGACATAATAATTAATTTTTTAATATCCAAATTTTTAATTCTAGTAGTATAAAACCACTTTTCAACAGAAGTAACAATCTTCGATAAATTCAAATATTTTAAAAAACTAGGATAATTGAAAAGTGTATTTGAAAGTAATAAATTTTCATTAATTTTATATTCATTTAATTTTGTTTTCAATTCAACATTTAAATTATGTAGGTAAATTCCAATAAAGTTATAATTTCCAGTAGAAATTGAAAATGGATTTTTCCACAATAATGGAATCGATATACGACACCAAAATCTGTTAACTAAAACACATGAATATAAGGTTGAATAATCATCCTGAAAGTACTTTATAATATTCTCTGTTAATTCAGGTAAGGTTCCCGAAAATATTTTTGAACATGACATTGTAAGCGAAGAGGCGAAGAGAAAAAGAAAGGTATCTGTGCAGTCATTTCACGACCGGATAAATTATATTAATTTTCGGAATGATATTGTCGCACAATTATTGTGTGTAACATGTTTAATTAACTAGTCGTTTATGGCAAGCCGAGTTGGACTAAACTATCAGCGGGTCAAAATGTTACACCATGCTTGATGTTCATCTGTCCGTGCTTGATATTTATTTGTACGTGCTTGATGTTTTATCCATCTGTGCTTGATATTTTTGTCCGTCTGTGCTTGATGTTTTTGTCCAACTGTGTTTGATTTAATCCGATCACATGTTTTTAAGTTTAGCGTAGTTTTAAATTTTTTTTTTATTGGCTTTTTTTTTATAAAACAATTTTTGTAGAGAATTTTTATTTTTAATATAGGCAAAGGCTGGGAATTTTTTTAATAAAAAGATTTTTTTTTTGATAAAAAATTTCGTTAGAGAATTTTTTTCATTAATAAGGAAGACATTTCTGAATTTTTTTTTTGATCGTTAAAAACTTTTATTTGATAGAAATTTCATTGGAGAATTTTTTTTTAATAAGATCTTTTTTCTTTGANATTTCTGAATTTTTTTTTTGATCGTTAAAAACTTTTTTTTTGTAGAAAATTCTTTGAAGAATTTTTTTAATAGGAGAGTTTTTTTTTGATATAGAAATTCTTTTGAGAATTTTTTTATTAGGTGGTAAGAATCTTTGAATTTTTTTAATAGGGAAAATGTGTTTTTTGATTTTCGTTAGAAATTATTCTTTAATTAGGGATATTTTTTTGATTGAGAATTTCATTAGAGAATTGTTTGTTGAAAATTTTTTTTATTTTTTTGATGGAGAATTTTGTCTAAAAATCTTGATAGAAAATTTTATTGAAAATAGTTTTTTTAATAAGGGTATCGAGAATTTTGGCTTGAAATTTTTTTTTTAATAAAGAATTTCATTAGAGATCTTTTTTTTTTTATAAAAAATTGATTAAAATTTATTGTTTATTAAATTTTACAAAGAATTAAATTAAATATTAAATAAAAATGAAATTTAAAGAAATACCAAGACTGAAAACTAATAATAAATTTAAGAAAATAATTATAAAGATAAAACCAAATAAATTAAAAAAGCATGCTAATATAGATCAAAAAGAATATTAATTATATTAATTAAATAAAGAAATACAGTACAATAAAATAAAATAAAAATTAAAAAAAAAATTAAAAAAAAAGCTAAATCATATACTAATAAAAATAAATAAATATTAAATTACATTAATAAGATTAAGATAAAATTAAAAAAACTATGATAGAATCCTAAATAGCATAGTAAATTAAGCAAATTTTATATACTATTCCGCATGAGCTGAGCTGGCTTGCAAGCTGAGCCATACTTAAATTTGCTTGATGCTTGACAAGCCAGCTCGAAATAGCTTCGCCTACAAAGTAGCAAAATAAAAATTAATCACATGACTTCCCAATATTCTGATTTACCGATCTTGATTGGTTGATTTATAATCAACTTTTTGTATAAATATTTTTTTTTTACTGATCTTTTTTTAAATAATAATTTATTCATTATTATTATTTAAAAAGATGACGGAAATCTAAGATAAGGGAAGGGTACTTTTTTTTTAGATTTGGGAACGTTACTAACGTTTCCTTTCTTTTTTTCTTTAGGGACATTATTCTAGATGTCAAAATGAAGCAAGAACAGCCTTTCCTTAGAGTTATGTGGTAAGTAGTTTTATATATGGTTATGATTGCATTACGGAATAATACCAACACATTTTTTTTTATTTTCTAGTTTTTTGGCCTTTCCTTGGAGTTATACGGTAAGTAGTGTAATGTATGGATATGAAATTGCATTACGGAACGACACTAACGCAATTTTTTTTTATCTTTTAGTTCTTCGTCTTTTCTTCGGTAAGTAGTGTAATGTATGGATAATATGATGCGTTATGGAACGCCACTAACGCATTTTTTTTTATTTTTCAGGTTTCTGGCTAATGGAATAATTAACCTTAACTCTCTCATGAGGATTTTTAGATATAAATCCGGAGCACCTTCAATAATTGTTATATTGATAAATTTCTTTTCTTTAAGTGATAAATAATTTAGTGAAACAGACATTAATGAATATTGGCAGTCCCTGTCATAACAATAATTATTTAATTATCCACAGAAGATAAAAATGCTACAACTTTAGCGATAAAATCATACGATTTTATATTACATGATGCAATGATAAAGCAACCAAATTTTTTTTGCAACTTTAGTTCAACGTCTTTACATTTGCTCATTATGTCTTGTGTTTTAAAGAGACATGTTGCGGATCGTATTTGGAATCTTTTATGGATATGGTGGTTAAGCTAAAAGTTAGGAAAGCTGTCTTAGGTATTTCAGATTACTTGTAACTACTTTATACATAACTTTTTTTTATTTTGATACCTTTTTTTAAGGCTGAGTGAATTCTTAATTTACTCTAAATTTACTCTAATTGTTAAGTATGTGGAAATGAATTATCGAAGAAATTACTAAATTTTAATATGACAAGCATATCGATGGAAAAGGTCACAAATATCATTACATATTCCATCGCATAAAGCAATGATGGAAAAATTATGAACAAAAGCAAATTTACCTGAAGGCATTCACAAATCGCAACCTAAGCACCAAAATAGAAATTCAACAAGTTGGATATTCAGGACTCAAAAATATGCACGAATTTATGAAGGTGACTATTAAAAGGTAAGTATTAATTACTGGCTGTAATATTGTAAAAAAAAAAAATTAATTTTTCATTTAACTTTATTTTACTATTTAATTAGTCAGTCTTAGAGCAACATAATCATCAGAAGGATAAAATAAACGTAGATCTACAAAATAATACACGTGAAAAAACTACACACTCGTGACGATATACGAGTGTGAAAAATTTAGAGGAATTTTCAATAGTATAAAATAGTGTTTTCTAAACACAACATAGTTTTTTTAATAGTAAAAAATAATGTAGTTAATAGTAAAATTAATAAAATTTTTCACTTTATTTTTTTCCTACCTTTTCTTTACTCGTATATTTTTCTGGTATTTTTATACATTATTATTTTTTACTTGCACTAAGAGTCGAATTGAATACATTTTATTATTTTTTTTACTTACACTAAGAGTACCTCACTATTAATTACATTTTATTTATTTATTTTTTTTACTTACACTCAGAATCGAACTGAATACCTTAGTAATAGGCACAAGAACATTTCTTAGTTCTGGTAATTCAGCTTAACAAGAAGTTTAATTGTTTGTAATTGACTGAAAAAATTATTGAATTTTATTTTCACATTCCTACAAAAAGTTTTATGCCAAATTTATATCATTGGTTCGAAATTAGCTCAAATTTATGCAAAAAATAATCCAAATTTAAGCCAATCTAGAGCCAATTATATATGGATTTGGTATAAATTTACTATGAACACTTTTTATAAGGCATAAATTTAATATTAAATTATCAAATAAAAAAAAAAATTATTGATACCATATTCTATTTATTTAATATAAAAAAGCAAGTGGAAACAAAGTCCCTCATGTAATGACAATATTTGAAAGTCTAAAAATTTTTTCAACTGTAAAACCACAGGTTTTACTAACTAAATTAAAGTAATAAATTATTTCTAACAAAATTCAACATATTTAATATTATCAAACAATCAATACGGATATTCTGTAATAAAATTTGTCTTATAAGTAAATTTAATATTATTATTATTTTATTGACATTTGATAACCATTTTTTTTTGATAGCTTCTTTAGAAAGATATATATTTAAGCAGGTGTACTGTAGTAAAATAAATATTATTCAATATTTTTTAAATAATTTGAAAAAAAAACATTAACTGAATGAGTTTTCACTTTCCATATCATTTTTTTATTTATTTTCATATCATATTAGTAAGATTAATTACATAAATAATACATTATTTAATGAAAAATTATCAATATAATCAATCTTTTTCTTTAAAAAAAAAAATCAAATTAATAACTTAGAAAATTTAAATAAATTTATTTAATATATATTAATTGATTACAAACTGGACTATTTAATAATACATAATTCATAATTCCAGTGATCAAATTATAAAACTAACATATAAATATTAAAAATTATTTAGCTTGTATTTCTTTCAATAATTTTTCTATCTCGTCTAATTTTTTCAACTTATCTAAATTCTCACAATAAGATTTTTCTAATTTTTCCAACTTATCTAATTTCTCTAATTTCTCATCTATTTTTTCTAATTTTTCTAGTTTCTCTAATGCTGATAATTTCTCCAATATTACCTTATTGTCAATAGGATTATGTTTAATTTGAAGTTCTTCTAATAATTTTTCTTGCATCTTTATGAATTCCCTATTATCCCATTCACCCTCTTTAATCAATCTTTCAATTTCTATTCGAGTCTTATCAGCATCAGCATAATAATGTCTTGAAAATAAATTTGAATTAATAAAATTATGACATTATATTTTTTTTAAAAAAAAAAGTAAAATTACATACATTACTTCAGGAAACCATTCTTGCCAACGTCTCTGATGTGGTAATAGGTAAAATAACTCAATCTCAGCCAAAATCTTTAAAAATAAAATTTGAGAAATATTAGTACATTTATAGAGAATAGAATGATTAATATTAATATTATTTACTTCTGCCTTCTGTATCAAATATGAGACTCTATTATTATCTTCTTCAATTGCATTGTTGAGCAATCCAATTAACAAGTTCATAAGATATACAACAACCAAGAGGGAAAATAAAACAATCAATATTGCAATTGATGGATTATCTGCATATGACCAATTGGATAAAGCACTTGAATCACCTATTAATAAGAAAGAAAAATTACTTAAAAAAATAAGAAAATAAAAAAAATAAATATAAATAAAAAAGATTTAAATATACTGTACCTGCTAAAAATAAATATATAGCAAAAAGAGAAGTTCTAATATCTATAAACATGTTTGTATTTTTATCAGGTGTTTGAATAATAGTAAATGGATTGGAGTTTATATTTCCATCATTATTAGTTACTTGGCTATAACTAGAAGCTAAATTCCAAGGATTATTCGGATCATCATTATTTGTATATTGTTTAAGTGAAAATTCAGATTTTGGTGATAATAAAATAAAAAATGCATGTGCAAAACTTATTACAATAATGAATATGACTACTAAAAAAGAAAAAATCTTTTTCCCAACACTAATAATAATTGCAAAATATACACCAAAATATTAAATGCCCTAAAAAATAACAAAAACTTTATATCCAAAAATAAGCATGAAAAAGAAAGTAATTGAATTAGATAATTATTATTGTTCTTATCATTTGTTTGAAGCCAATAAATAGAAGTGTAAATTGAAAGTACATAAGCAATTATATCTGAAATATTAAAATATTATATGATTAATTTCATTTTCTTAAAATATTGTAAATTTAATAAATTAAACATTTATATTTACCAAAAATATTCCAAAAATTATAGAACCACTTAGTAATATTATAAAAAAATTGACGAAATTCAAAAATCAGATGAATAAATCCAAGTATAATCGAAGCAATAAAAAGTTGTTGTCTAACTTCTTCATTGATATATTGCTGAGGTATTGTTGCAGCAGCAGTAAAGCATCCAAGTAAAGCCATAAATAAAATCCAAATCATTGCGTAATAATATTTTCCATAAGCATTCCATTTAAAATTAAGTAATGCTTCACCATTCCATGTTTTATAGATATTTCTATTTATTGATTTAGTAAATGGACTAGATTGAGGTCTAATTAATTCTAAGAACCAATTATAATCTTTTGGATAATTAACAAAATTAATATAAGGAATCATGAAAGTAATTGTTGGTGTTGTTGTTGTTATTTTTTCTTGAAAATATTCAAAAATTGCAACAGCAGCCGAAGAAAATGCATCTGAAGTATAAATACCATTAATAAAATTGTATTTTGATAAAATATAAAATGTAGCCAAATAAAGGGGTAAAGCTAAAATTATTATTAAAACTTGAATAATATTATATATAATGTACAAAATCAATATTGTATACCTATGTGTTAATAAATTTAGATAACCAAGTGTGCAATAAATTTTATAATAGTATTTTGTCCATAAAAGTGATTTTGATAAATTAGCTATTTGAGGGGGGTGAAAAGAATAATAAAGATGTAAATTTTTATTTTTATGCTCTATAGTATAAAAAGAAGAATCTATTATCATATTCGTTTCTGATGAATATTTTAGAATATATTCTGGATAATATTCATCTAGTAATGGCATTGCAGAAGTGATAATGCTTAAAAATGGCTTATTATTCATTGGATCCTCTTTAAAATAAGTCATACATTTTTTATAAATATCATCAATTAATTCTAATTTATGTTCTTTAATCACAAATGTTAATAATTCAACTCCATATTTCAAAAGGCTTAACTTATTATTTATTAAATCTGAAACCCATCCATTTAATCTAAAACTGTCATAATTTGGTAATGGGAAAGTAGATTTTGAAAATATTCTTTCGTTATGTTGAAGCATTTTCAGATATGTTTTGTTTTTGCTACCGATATAATATCTATAATAATCAAAATCCATAAAATAAAAATAGATTAAAGGAATAGATTTGTTATTTTCACAAAAAGTATAAATAAGAATACCAAATGTTGTCAATATAACAATATCATTATTAAATAATGAGCTCACAATTAAATCATGATTGTTGTTATACTTAGGTCTATAAGGATAATTCTCAATTCTCGTGCTAATTAATTCCCATTTAGTATTAATTTTTTTGAAAACTTCTAGTTTAATTTTATCATGATAGGCATATATTTCCCATTTAATCAAATTTTCAATTGATTCAGTTATTAATTTTTTTTTACTTGTGCATTTGGCATTTTGAAATAATGTAGATACAGTATCCATATATAGATGGACATTTGAGAGTTTGTAAGTTGTCTTGTCATCATCATCACATTCAATAACTTTAGTTTTTGACATATTTTCGTAAAATTTAGATTTCCAAACACGTTCATTTAGAATTCCAAACACAAACATTGCTTGCTCATCAGTTGGTTCATCAAATAAAGTTTTATTAAACCTATTTTTGTATTTACTATTCCAGCAATATTTGATTTTTTTATCTGGTGTATTATAGAATAAAGAAGGTAAAAGAAATAAACCAGTATGATTCATAAAATTATAAAATTGAATATCTAAATAATAAATAGTGATTTAATATGATTAATAATTAAAGTATAAATAAAATTTATTAAATTAGTTACCATCATTTATATCCAAAGTAACAATAGGAATTCCCAATTCGATTGAATAAACGATTATTTTATCATTGACTTTTAAAAAAATAAACTTTTCATCATTATTGAATATCCCGATATTTTTTGTTCCAAACTAAAAAAAATAAAAAATATTTAATATATTTAATTATAATTTAACATCAATTGGGTTGGAAATAATTTTATAATATTCATTACCTTATTCTTATCCTTATTATTAACAAATATTTTTACACTTTTTTCAGTATTAATATTCCATTCACAAATGTAATCATTTGAAAACAGATAAACTTTATCAAATTTTGATATACTAATTAATACATAATCTTAAGGTATCTAGTAAAATCTCTTACATTCCCATTTGTTATTTTTAGTTTGTGTGGAATAAATCCAAATAATTTTATGTTCGTAAACTAAACTATATAAAATAAATTCACCTTTTAAATTAAAGGTACAATACATTGATCTAACTTTTCTATAAAAACTTAATGTAATTTTATCTTTATTATTCATATCGATTACATCGATTTTATATTCTACAAAAAAAAAATATTAAATAAGTATCAATCACCATAAGTTTATAATTACATAATATTACTTACTATCATAATCATAAATTCTACATAGTTTCTTGTCATCAGAAACACATAAACTTATGGTTCCATAACCAATTTTAATAGTTTTATCAAATTTAAGTTGAACCTTATCTATATTTTCAACATTCCAACCAACAATTGAACGATCTTCTTCACTATAAGTAATAAGGTAGTTTTCATTTGGTGATGTTTCTATCCTAGTAATAGGTTTACCGTTATGTGGTTTATCATCGACATCATCGAAGGTAAATATTTTATCAACATCATTTTTATCAACATCATTTACATCAACGTCATTTTTATCAACTTCAATTTCGATTACTTCACTCATTTGGTAATTACTTATAAGTATATAAATTTATTTCCAAAGAAATTATTTTTTTTTTATATCGTCCATTTGGCGATTATATACTTTTTATTATTTGAAACACGTGTGTAAATATGCATGGCTGTTGGCTGTGCGTAAAATTCCAGAAAAAAAAAATTGAAAAGTTAATCGAGTTTTTTTATTTTGAAACACATGCGTAAATATGTACGTAAAATTTCAGCCTCTTGCAGAAAAAAAAAAAATATTTTTTATTATGAAAAGTTAATTGAGTTTTTTTTATTTTGAAACACATGCGTAAATATGCATGGATATACGTAAATTTTCAGCCTCTTGAAGAAAAAAAAAATTTTTTATTGTGAAAAGTTAATTGAGTTTTTTTTTATTTTGAAACACATACGTAAATTTGCATGGATATACGTAAATTTTCAGCCTCTTGCTGAAAAAAAAAAATTTTTTATTATGTAGAGTTAATTAAGCTTTCGACATAAAAAATTTTTTCATCGTAAATTTTTTTTTTTTTTTTTTGTACGTGGTTGTACATACAGGTATATATATAAGGAAATCTCAAATGAAAATATGTTTGTTAAAAAAATGACAAATCTGTTTATTTTAAATTATTTATTTATCTTCAAACTATAATATAAAACATAAAAAAAATTATACACACCGCAACTAGTAGTCTTGTATTAAAAGAATTACCTAGTAAATCTATTAGTTGTGGGGCGCAGTATTATATTTAGTTTTATATAAATAAATAGAATATTATTTTGTGTAATGTTACAAATGTAACATCCGTTAACTAAGTTCGGAGTATTACTATAATAAGAAAAGGAATTGGAGATCAATTTTTACAAATTTTCAGTTAATATTTATGAAAAGCGGAAACCAACGTTTTTCAAAAGGTATTCATTAAAAGAAAAAGGTCTACTAATAGCAAATTTTATCAGAACAAAAATTGGGAGTCGTTAAAAAGGGTAAACCAAAAATCATTTTATGAACTTTGATGAAAATCATCTATTATCTATTATTTTTAAAAAAATTCATATCGATCAGTAACGTTTAGATCACCCGTATAAATAATTTTTGGATTGCGCCTTATTTGTCCCGTGATTGTATAACAGGTTTGGACATCAGATCTTAAAAAACGGAAAGGATACTTAAATAGGACTTTTCCATTAAATAATTAATTAGCATAATTTCCAACCATGTCCTAAATCTATTAAATATTTAATAAACCCGCCAGAATTGCTTAAATATTTTGTTGTTATATAGGTTGTATTTGGAATAATAGAATACAGATTTAAATAACAATAAATTCGCTGAAATGGCACAATTTGCTTGTTTTAAAATATTGTTAGTTGAGAAACAAATAGTTTTAGAACAAATATCTCTGTTAGTTTTCCATTGTAATTATTATTAGTATGAAATGTTTCTATAACATATATACAATTATTAGATGATAGAATTTCTGTATTCTTAACTTTTTTCAAATCTACAAAAGAATTTAATAATTTTATCTATTTTTCACTTGAAACCAAAGTAATAAAATTATTATAATCAATGTAAAATTTTTATTTGTATAATTCTATAACTTGATGACATTAGAGAATATAAATAAGAAAAACCATTATTTGATATAAAAAGAGTATAAGATAAAAATAATAGGAAAAAGTTTATAATAAATAATTATAAACTTTATGTACTAAAGTATGGTTATAAGTATTGTGCGGTGGAATTTTCTACTATTCAATTCCATGACTCATTTCCAAATATTAGAATCTATACATCCATTACTACTAATTAATCTGATAACTAAATATATTGCTAAGTCTTCTTGTTTAACTTCATATCAATATGATTTTTGAAACCTATCGCCTGGTTTAACGTATTTTTTCCAGTAAATGAAGAATTTTATATTATTCTTTAATAAAGAATTACTAAATATAATAATTAGACATGTATTTATTAGTCTTAATTTGCATAATAATGGGGTCTGATCTAAGATCAAGGTTAGAGATTTTTTTTTCAAAATTGAAATTTTTACTGCATTATATTTTTTGATATGACTAGATTAAAATACAATAACTTTTAAATTTTAGCTAAAAAATTTTTTTACCTTGATTTTTCTAGATCAGACCCATTATATTGTTTGCTTTTATTCATATTAAATTTTCAGATCATAAAAATTTCTCAATAAACTACAAAAATAACAAATAAACATATGTTTTTAGAATAAGAAAATTTATAAAACAATTTTATTTATAATAATGTTCATATATAATACTTTTAAATTACTACAAATAACTAGTAAGTTTCTTTTATATAATTATAAACTCCCATGATTGAATCATTATAATTTTGCAATTTGATGTTATATGACCCAAATTCCTCCACTTCATCTTTCAAATAAAACAAATCCTTATTATGAAATGATGCATTTTTATGAAAAGAATTCTTAATAGCCAAATACTTGACTCTTTTCTTTTTCATAATATATTTTTTTACATAGGGTAAAATATCATCACCATCCTCATTGTTGATTAACAATTTCTTAATAAAAGTATTTTTAGAACTTTCTAAAAATAATTTAAAATTACTTGCTTTAATGTGAAGAGTTAAACTTAAATATTCTAATCTAGAAGGAAGAATTTGTCCTAAATCTTGCAATATGATTGAACTATATTTGATATATTCAATAATATTTCTTAATATTACTGGTTCAAAGATATTAATAGTAAGATAATTAAGATTTTGTTTAATATTTTCAATTAAATTTAATGCTGGATAAATAATTTGATTATTATATTCATGTAAATCAAGTAATTTGATATTTTTACAATATTTTATAATTGATTCAATTAATTCTTTTGATAATGGATCATGATTAGATCTAAATCCGCAACCAAGATTCTCTAAATAAGCACCATATTTTTGTAATAATAATTGTAATGATTGATCAATTTGTGATCTATCATTTATAAATAAAGATTTTAATTTAAATGGTTTGGATAAATTAATAATTTGTTGAATAAAACCAGTATTTATAGGATAACAATGAAAAATATGAACAGATTCCAAAACATTTAATTGTTCCAATAGCTTATCCAAATTAATTATGCTTTTAAAATTAATGGAATATAATGTAATAGTATTTAAAGTATTTGAACAATTAGAACCTTTTGATAACAATAATGGTTGATATGAAGGAAAATTGGTGTGATCTAATACAATTTTTTTAAGATTTCGATGTAAATTAATTATTTGTGATATGCGATCTTTAGTTAACTTGTCCTCATTAGGATTATTGTTGAAATATAAGAAACCAGGAGTTTTACCATTATATAGTTTTAAATATTTAATATTATGAATGAAGTTCGTATTTTGTAAAATTAACTCAATAATTTCATTATTAATATAAGAAAGATAACCATGATGAGTTAACTCAATTTCAAGAGTATGTAAATTTACGTCATTTTCAATAAATATTTTAAATAATGATATAACTAGTTTTTTACTTAAATTTAAATATGCTTTAGCCCACCTCCCAACAGAAGAAATAAATTCCTGTGTATTCAAATATTTTATAAAACTAGGATAATTGAAAAGTGTATTAGAAGGTAATAATTTATCAATATCGTATTTATTTAATTCAGTTTTTAGATCATCATTTAAATTTAAATTATATAAGTAAATTTCAATAAAGTTACAATTTCCTGTAGAAATTGAGAATGGGTTTTCCCATAATAATGGAATCGCTAAACGATACCATAATCTATTAACCAAAATACATGAGTGTAAAGTTGAAAAATCATTCTGAAAATATTTTATAATTTCATATGTTAATTCAGGTAATTCTCCTGAAAATATTTTTGAACATGACATATTGTAAGCAAAGGAGAGAAAAAAATGTATAAGTGTATGACAAATTACGTACTGGGCAAATTATATAATTTTTCGGAATGGTAATTCCGATATGTCGCACAACTTACGTCAATTAATTTTGTGTAACGCGTTTAATGATACACATCATAAGAAAAAAATATTATTATTTATCGGAACCCTATACATACTGTATAAAGACTAGAACTTTAACAAAGAATCGATTATTTGTATAAAAAAGAAAAACAAAAGTATAATAGAAAATTAGACATGAATTCAATAAATTTAATTTGCGTAAATTATGATAAGTCAAATTCCCAATTTTTAGAATAGTTGTGAAATTGTCGTAAATTTGTTAGAAAGTAAATACCTTTATTTATAAAATTTCTAGATATTTTTATTTTATTATTATTTTTTGTAATAATTGGTTGCATAACATATAAGGGTTTATTATCCGGAAGACACACGTGATGATACAGTAACATAACCCTATAAAAAAATTGGATACGTTTTTTATAAAGTTTTTGTACGATTTTTTTCCTTAGAAATAACGTATCATAATAGGATACGGAAAAATGCACAATTCCGTATCACTAAAAATATGGTTTGGATACGGAATTTGCACGGAATTCATATGGAATTTACATGATT